GGCAAACAATTTATGGTTTGTAGGTGGACTACAAGGAGAGATTCGACTGCCAGAGCAGATTGAGGAGCACAAGGAGAAAAAGAGAGTCAAGCTTGGATTCTTTCAAGGAGCCGGAACAGAAAGAGAGGAAGAGAGGGGGAGAATCAAGCCTGGTTTAGAGAGAGAGAGAGAGAGAGAGAGAGAGAGAGAGAGAGAGAGAGAGAGAGAGAGAGAGAGAGAGAGAGAGATTTTGGGAAGAGAGGGAAAAACTTGCAATGGGCCTTGATGAGGAAAGCAAATGAATTTGGTGGCAAAGTCGGGCCTTGAGTTGGGCCTCAGGTTTGACCAAGCGATACAAGTCAAGAGAGAGAGAGAGAGAGAGAGAGAGAGAGAGAGAGAGAGAGAGAGAGCTGGGAGAGGGGGAAGAGAGTTAGCTCTTACCAAAAGGGTGTTGGGGATGAGCACGGTAATAGCCACTTGGTACCATAACTCTTTCTTTGTATAATAGGATAATAGTTGGAAGTCTTTCCATTGTGCTGATTCGGTTCTCGTTTCTTGGCTTCATGTGAATTTTAGTTTGAACATTTTGTCGATACATGTTGATTTGGGGGTTAAGTATCGGAAGGCTCCTTCAAGTAATAACAACCGATTCCGGAAAAAAAAAAAAAAAAAAAAAAAAAAAAGCGTGCTTCACCTGTGAAGCGTGTATAACAGATGTGTGTGTGTGTGTGTATGTGTCAGAGTGTGTGTTGTTGGTGTGAGTGTGTAATGTGAATGTATGTATGCATGACACATATATGTGTGTACATCTTTGACTGTATTGAATGTGTATTCCTTTTTTTTTCCCAAATTTCTTGGTGTTTGGGACTTGATCAGAGTGTCAACTTGGTTATTAAAAAAAAAATTGATTTAAAATTCAATGCACTTGGTATCATGGTTGCAGATCAACATTGAGTTTGTTGCAACACGTGGTAATGTATTGGAAATGTAGACAACGTACAGACTGTTTGCAGACAACAAATCCAAAATGTGGGGACACCTAAGGATCCCAAGTCCACAATTGGTTGGGATTTGGGATTTTCCCGAATCTACAAACATTGGGGGCAATTGAGGGACCATAGTAGTGATTGATGTCGGACATCACAAAGGGTTTTTATGGATAACACATATTTCATATGTAGTAGCATATTGGGAATTTGGAGACAAAGTCGAATCTGAATATAGTACAAGAAAATTATGTTCAGTTTTATCGAAATCATAGGTGTTTGTGCATCTGGTTAGGAAAGGAATATGGAATCCACAACACGCGAAATATACATCAGGATATATTGTACTAAAATGAGTATGTAAATCGAGAAAATCTCGATGTGTATTTCGGTAACAAAACACTGATTATACGTTGGAATGTAACTTGAGAATATAACTAAATGTCGAAAATCTCGAAGTGTGTTTCAGTTACGAAACACGAAATATACATCGAGATATAATATACTAAAATAATTAAGTAAATCTCAAAAATTTTAAAGTGTGTTTTGGTAATAAAACATTGAATTACATCCTGATTTAACTTCAGTAAATGACTAAATCAAATTTGAAAATCCTTAAGCATATTTTGGCAACGAAACTCCGAACATAGATCAGAATATAATGTACTCAAATGACTAAGTAAATCCTAAAAAATCTAGAAGTGTATTGCAGTAACGAAACACCGAAATATAACTCGAGAATATGACTAAGTAAATCCTGAAAATTTTGAGTGTATTTTAGTAATGAAACACTAAACATATGTCGCTAGAGAGGCGGACAACATACATTCATAAACTCATAATAAAAATTGAACTCAAATCAAAATAGATAACATCAACAAAATTATTATACACCAAAAATTTTAGCCTATCCAAAACAAACTGAAATCCAATATCAAATCAATTACACTACATACCATATCTCAAGATTATTTTAATAATATGTTCTAAACATCTATTATTTCTATTATTTATATCAGTCTCATTAAGTTCATGAGTTTGTCTTAAATACGTAAATTTGCTACATGATTTGTAAGTCCCAGACACGTGTTTAAAAACCTCGTTCAATTACATATACCGTGCAAAAAGAAAAAAAGAAAAAAAAAGGTTACAATTCGCACAACCTTTGTATTGTTGTGCCTCACCAAACACTCCATTAGATCCATTACGGCCTACATCATATCACTCTATGAATAATTAGTAACCTATGTAGTACGATCTTCGTTTCTACTTCCATACCTACTAATTGAATTTATAGAGGTTTATAATCTTAGCTTTATTCTCACTCAACTGCACAATGTTTCGTATATTCCTTCCTTATAATAACATTTTAGGCTTCACTATTTTGAATTTACAAGGCTCGCACGATCATTATGCCTAATCCACCCCGCTTTCCTATATCAGTGGAACCTGCAAACATTTTTTTTTTGGTAAAAAATATTAAAAATAAAATTAAAACTAATTTTCTTTTGTTTCGGAACTTTCGGTTTTCTATTTTTAATTCACATTTGGCTAAGAATTTGAACATGACTGCAATTAAATGTTGCTTGTATTGTTGTTTTGCATCACATATATTTTTTTCAGATCTTTATGATTTTTTTTTAATTTTTTTTTTTTTTTTTTTTTTTTAATGTTTGCGTTCGGAGGGTTTTGGGCGCTAGTTCGCGTTCGGCCGAACATGTTCGGGTTCGCCTCCGAACGCGAACATGATGCTACGCAGGGTGGAACAACATGTAAATCCTCATATCATGATATTTTTTTGTTCATGGGATTGACTCATTCGAGTCTTGAAAATACGAACTACAAGGTCTGGGAGACACACCACTTTGTCAAAACTTAATTTTGGTTGTTGGATTTTTTGAACACTCTACTTGCTGATCTCACCTCGTCCAACAACTTGCCCTCCGAAAAGTTTCTTCCTTGTCCTTCCTCTGAGTTTTCATAAGTTCGTGAGGAGGCTGTTTGATCTTAACACGTCCCTCTTCACGATGCTTCTTAATTTTCGACTTCCTCTTAGGCTCATCGACATTGGTTTTTTCATTCCTCTTTCACTAGCGCCTCATGTGATTATTCCCTAATCTTCTGCTTTTCCTTTTGCCGCTCTCCCTCAAATAGTGGCAAGAAACCTGATCAAGTTCTCTATGTAAGAGGTTTCCGAGAGTCGAGTCCTATGCTAGCTTCCTGTATGAGTCCGAAGTGACGTCTTGTTACTTCCCTTTTGAGAAGTTTCTAAGGAACATAAAATAATCAAAAAGAAAAACGAGCATTGGAGGATTGTGGACGCTTGGACGCCGCTCTAAGATGGGAGTCTCAGGTCAATAGCATTGCCCCCCCAAGAAACCTCACACTTCCCCCTCCCCCGCCCTCTCTCTGGCTTTCTCATGCCCCCCTCTTTGCCCGCCTCCGTACCCCCTCCCGTCCGAGCATCTGTCACTTGCTCCACTTTCCACACCTTCCCCTCTCTCCGCCAACTTTCGTCCTCCAAACTTCCTCTCGCTCCTCCCTCCTCCTCCATTCTTGAACGCGTGACCTACGAAATGCGTGCAGGAAATGCGCGCTTGATTTGTGAAAAAAATGCACTAGGACGTTGCCACGACCGCCACCATGACTTGCTGACAAGACCGTTGTTGTTTGTCCGCCTCTCTAGCGACCCGAGCCTGAGTGTGTGGCGCGTGATGTTGGGCCGTCACCCCTGCCGGGAGACGGTGACGTGCCATTGCCCGCAGGAGGTGGTGTCGAGGTCCCCCTTCCTGTCTCTGATTCCTCGCCTAACCCCGCTCCAGCAACCGCCCCTACTACAGGCAGTGCTTCAGGACAGTTGAATCCTTTACACCACTTGTGCGATATTCCGGTTGCCCAGAGTGTAACACCTGTGACTGAGAGGGTAGTGTTGGATGTAGGGATTCTCAGTGGCCCAGGCACAACCACTTGAGGGAGAGGCACATACAGACAGCAGGCCGTTACCTTGTATTACTCTGACCCTGTTGAGCATGCATGACATCTGCAGATTACGCGCTTGAATGTCGAGTGTGGGATGTTGTTCAACTGCGTGAAGCTTGAAAGCTTCAAACGCATGTTCACGATTATCATTCCACCTTTCGTTCCTGGGGCACCTTCGCCCAAGCCTCCTTCATACCATATGATCCGGACGACCCTTTTGGACGAGCTCGATGTTGAGGTTCAAAAGTGTGTCTGGCCTGTCCTTGCCATTTCTGCAGAGTGGTTGGACAATCATGACTTACGGATGGACGAACATTTGTGGTCAAACATTTTGCAACTACCTTGTTGGGACAGAGAGGGGCCCCCCTTACCTGGTCACGAATGTCATGCGTGGGAAGAAGGACGCACCTGCCTTGGCGAAGGCATGACTTCAGAGATTGAACCCCATTGACATCAAGTTGAGCGACGTCACGGCATTTGTCACGGACTCTGCCGGCGTTAATGTTGGTGTTATGGAGGTCTTTCAATAGGACGAGAGTGTGAAGCATATTTTCTGGGTTCCGTGCGTGGCTCACGTTGTGGACCTCATCCTTTAGGACATTAGAGGGATAAATTGGGTGGCCACCCGTATCGCGCAGGCGAGGATGGTCACGAGGTTCTTCAAGCGCGACAACCATGCACGAGAGTTTTTACAAGCATTCACTGCGAAGACGATGTTGCTGCCAACAGAGATTCGCTTCGGGACGAACGTCATAATGATGATGAGGATTCTGGATTTGCAATCGGACCCCATGTCCGTTGTGATAGACGGTCTCAGGCATGACACTGTTTAGTCAACGAGTAAGATTTGCAAGGACAGCCGAGGTGACTGTATGTTGTGGGTCTCCTCCATGGTGAGAGGATTTTAGAGCGTTGTGCAACATGTTGGACCCCATCATGGACATGTTAAAGATGGTCGACAGTGGCACTCGACAGATAAGCAAGATTTTGTGTCATTGTGAAGTGATGATAGCGTCTTGTTTACCTGCATATGACCATCTCGACTGAGAGCAGCAGGATGAGGTGCTCGAGATCTTTGACAGGAAGTGGAACATGTTTAGGACACCCACTCATGTGGCTGCCATGATGTTGGATCCTGAGTTTCGAGACCCCACCATGGCCGCCGCCGCCGACATGCAGCAGGGGTTGACTGCTGCATTGATACAGTTCGGGTACCCAGTGGGATCGCCGCAGCACAAAGAGGTTTTGACCACCATCGACGAGTTTCATGCGAGGGAGCCTCCTTTTGACACCGTCAGCATGGAGTGAACCCTCGATAGTTACAACCATCCTGCGAGTTTTTGGAACTCCAAGCAGAGGAGGTTTCGATACACTGCCTACTTCGCGGGCAGGATCCTTCTCATATGGGCGACTACATCACTGTGCGAGAGACCTTGGTCTCGTTGGAGTTTCATTCACTCCAAATCTCGCAACAGGTTGGAGGTCGCACGGGCTGAGAAGCTCGTGCAGTGCCACTGGAACCTCTGACTCCTGGATAGACCATGTTTGTAAGAGGATGCTCCGACTGAGAAGTCCGATACTTATGTGCAGTGGGTGCATTATTGGCAACACTTGGAGGACGAGTTGCCCACCGACCAGCAGCTCGTGACAGGCAGCAAGGCGTTGGCCAGGTTCACACAAGAGGAGTTGTTGCATGCGAGAGAGAGGATGTGTAGCGTATCCTGCATGGGAGCTATGCGTCAATTGGCGGAGTTTGACAGGAGGCGTCGTAGAGGTGGTGGTGTGGGCATCGCGGGTGGACGTATTCGTCCGCAAGCCCTGACAACGTTGGGATGAAGGGGACTTTCTGTCCGAGAGTTCATCTAGTGATGACGACGGATTCCTTGGAGAGAGAGTCCCCAGACTCTGTCGCGCAGCAGAGGGACCCACACGTTGTCGAGCAGCAGGGGGGCCCACCTTGGACAGGCTTGTGCCGACGATTACCCAGGACGAGGAGCGAGCGGTACACACAATACCGTGGCGAGACAGCAACTAGTGGCTGGCCCATCGGGTGGACAAGCTTGTGATGACGTGCCCCTCGGACACACAGCGAGCGGCACGGGCGGCCTTGAGGCGAGGCCACAGGTTGTGGCGGGTTCATTAGCGACTTAACCTCATTATGAAGACCCCCTTGTTCGCGGTCGTTCCTTGTCCGGCGGGCTGGTGACAGTGTCGCTCAATGATCGTGGGGGCGGAGCAGGGGGGGCTGGAGACCGGGGGTTGAGCAGCGCATGCGGACCAGTGGACGTGGCCATGGGGACGAGATCCATCGACAACCTTGCCGGTGCTTCTCATGACACCATGAGAGGCTTCGAGGATCTATACGGGAGACCTTTCCCAGCAAAGACATCAGATGTGTCCTTCACCAGGGAGTGGAAGGTGAATGTATCCCGCTCCAGGAAGACGGGTAGAGCTGGGAGATTATCCCAACATCACGGGCCACATGCACGTCGACATCCTGTGCCTCCCATGCGTGCTGATCTAGAGGACAGGGAGATCGCATCATAGGGAGGTGCAGCAGGGGGCGTGAGGGGCTGTGGGGGAGCACTAGGGGACGAAGGGGTTAGTGCAGGACCTTCTGGAGGCACCTTGCGGAGATCAGATCATGTGCAACAGGGGAGTGTCGCTGTACCAGAGCAGCGACACGAGAGCAATGAGGCAGCAGGGCGAAGAGAAAAGAGATGGGGCAGTGTGACCATTGTCCATGACGACACTTCAGACACAGGCTGGTGAGACAACTTGCTCTGACGATCCGGGTGACTCAGACTACAGACCGACTTTCAGGACGGCAGATGGAGCTGATGAGGGAGGGCGACGGGTGAGACGACGGACAGGAGTTGGGTCGCACGGGCACCATACGCCAGTGGTCCACAGGTCGCCTATCGATCGACGAGCACAAGCCTCTGCATTGCTGCGCACATTGGAGGCACAGAGAGCCCGATGAATGACTGTGGTGTTGGGGCTTTGCAAGCTGTCTCTTATACACATCTAGATGTGTATAAGAGACAGGTGTCAGAGTGTGTGTTGTTGGTGTGAGTGTGTAATGTGAATGTATGTATGCATGACACATATATGTGTGTACATCTTTGACTGTATTGAATGTG